ACTATGTCACTAGAACCGTAATTCCTATGTCACTAGACCCCAGTATATTCATTGGTTTTCCGGTAGCATCATGAATCAGTATGTACGTATTTGGATGGTGTGGGATAGTAGTATAGTTTACCCGAAGTATGTGAGGAAGTATGTGAGGATTTCGCAAGTAATCTTGTGTCATAATGTTGGTTGGAGCACAATCAGCGTCACCAGGCCCCAAATCTGATGATGTTCAATGCAGCCATGAGTGCGTTCACTGTTGCCACGAGCTGTTGGGAGCTGTCAGCCGACCTCATGCATCTCGGTCTGTCGGGGAGCGGAGCTGTCAGCCGATTCGACGCAGAGCCCTTTCTTCAGGTCCTTATGGTCATGCCAGGGACCATAGTGACCATAGGGACCATTTTCCACTTAGCGGATATGAATTGCTGGGGCACAGTTTGTAGCTGCTGGCCTTGGTTTTGGGGCTTTCACCGAAACTGACAGACCTTCCCAGATTTTCTCCATGTGGTTTTGAGCATCGGGGTCATTCAGTGAATGAGGGTGCGGTGCTGTGATGCATCCATGTTCTCTCACGTCACTGGTCCGACCAGCCAGGCTCCACAGGATGCGAGCTGCCCTTCTAAAGCCCAATGTGATCAGCTTGAACAGCCGCGTGGTGGGCATGATGTGGAACATCTCCAGGTCATGAGATTGCCAGCACAGTCTCATTGGGGGGGCACTGCACAAGAGCAAACATCCGCTCATTCGCGTGCTTGCTCTATATATGTGTTATATGATAGAAGATTATAGAAGAGTTGCTAGCACTGGATTTGGATGTTTTCGTTGCCAGAATCTTGTTGCTGCAAGCGCGGTCATCATTGTCTTATTTGGGTTAATGCCATCGTGGTCCTTCTCATCGTCCAACTGGAAGCGCAACCCCCGTCTTTTTAAGTATCAGGCTTCCATCTATCCGATCAGCTGGAGGTTCCATCAGCTTGGGGACCAGCTGGCGAAAGGCTTTGAACCTTTTGAGCCTTCACCGGGCTGCCCAGCAACGCTTAGACGAGGCGGGCGACACACCCGAATTGGGGTGAGAACGAGTCGGATCGCTGAAGGAGTTGAAGAAACCAGGTGAATTTCTCCCCTGCACATGAGCATGGACCCCCAAGTGGTCTTCCACATGTCGATTCTCAGGGTCCATATTGCTTTGAGGAGGGGTGAGGTATAGGCCGAGGCATAGGCCGGCCCCGATAAACATGAGAACCACTGCCTGCTTGAAAAAGGAAAGGCCCTCGGCAGGGTCCAGGGGCCCGCCGTGGTTTCCAGCAGTCAACTGAATGGTAGAGTCAGCCAGGAGTTCCAACAGAATCAATGGCCACTGAAAAGCTCGAAACGTTGTTTCACCGAACCTGAGGTCATGTCTTCGTTTGTGCTAGAAAGCTACAGGAATTTATTGGACATTGGAAAATCCACAGGGCAAGCATAAAAGACCAAATAGACTCTTCTATGATCTTCTATATAGGTATGTTTCCTATCTAGCAAAAATCCTATCAAGGTAGGTGTTCCCGCTGCCATTGTGCTACAGCCCTGTTCAGGTGAGTTGCAATACCAGCCTCAGCTGCTGCCAGGGCACTGATATTTGGAGACTTGGAAGACTGAGAGACCAGGGATGTATGTTGCCGCCACTTCAACATCTGAAGTGATGATTTCCTTTATGCAGGTATATGAACCCACAGACCCAGGGGACCCATGTAGCTGCCTCCTTAGGTAAGCTGGTCACGGTTTTCCTTTGCCTGGCTTTGCCTGGTGTCTTGGGGTTTAGTTCGACCCATTTTGGAGCAACCCATGCCAGCATCACCTGCGCAGGTGCTCCAAGCAACCCCCTTGGGGCAACTCAACATACAAATCGAGACCATCGACCCTTCGCTTCGGGGGGGCGGATCCTTGTCGCACCGAAGACAACGCATCGCCTCACGGGAGTCGAGGCGCGTGGCTTTGTCGCTGGGTGGGTCGATGGCCAGAGAAGCCTTGACACCGACAGTGGTGACCTTCAGTGGCTTCGGCAGTACGTGAGAGGATCAAGTTGCAAAACGCATGGGAAGAGTCTGGAAGCCCCCTCTCCAGGCCAAAGGGAGACTACACGTACTCAGTTTAAAGGGTGGTCAAAAGCTAACACCATCTCAATTTGTCAACAATTAAAAGGAACACCTTTGTAACAAACCCTTATCACGAAAGCTAGCTAGCTTCAGCTAGCTGGAGTTACTCCTTGCTTTGGCAAGCTGCAAGCTATTGGCTGGGGGATGGAATTGGACTCCAGGACTCATGTACTCGGACTCCAAACCAAGAGGATGCCAAGACCTGTGCCGCTGTTTTGGACCTCTCGACAGGTGGGCTTGCTACCACATCCTCACAAAGTGGTCACTGGACGCTCGGACATCGAATCGGCGCCATCCAGAAGAAACCAACACAGTGGACCTCGGTAGACGGATGCGGATGGGGAGTCCGGACAGCCGGCGCATTTCTCGACCCACGCGGGACCAAGAATCCACTGTGTGGTTTTCATGCGTGACGCCCCAGGAGCTTCGCTTTGCTTTGCCTTGAGGCCATGGACATTTCAGAGGCCTGGCTACAAGAAACCAAGAAACAGGAGCAAGTTCTGGATATGGCTGACCCAGCTTGACATCAAAGTAATTACAACAATTGTGGCTTGGTGTATTTTGTGTTTGCCCTACAGTATATTTCTAGCTGCCAGCTGCCGTTTGACACAGCTTGCGCCAGGTGCGGGCCAACGTGATTTCTCAGAACAATGTTCTCCACGCCTGCCGACGAACAGACCAATGGCCCCAGTCTCTCCATGCCATGGCTCGCATGAGGGAGTGGAGCCTTGCTTGCTTGCTTGCTTGCTTGGTGTGGGACTGTGATATATAGATATACACATATATATATAAGTATATCTTCTTATATAAGGCAAAGTTTGATCATAGCTGTCAAGAGTAGTTAGATATAGAGAACCCCCAAAACAACACAACATGTATATAGACATATTTAGAGATCTGGATTATACAACCGCCTCTTGAGGTTTATGAAACCGCATTTGGAACTGATGAGGACCTCTCCCAATGAGATCAGCTACAGTACCACGTTGCAATCCAGCGCTTTAGCCTCCCGCTGGAGAGATGCCATCTCCTTGTGCAGTACCGCAGCGCTGAGCCGGTTGAGCGGGAACGAAGTGGTGCAGAAGCCCGGTTGAGTTGGGGGATCCTCACGGGGGTGTTGGTCGATACTAGGCATTTTGACTCTTGAGGGCTTGTATAGAAAGTAATATGAAAGTATTAGGAGAGCTTGGGCACCATTCTTCCTCAGAGGTTTGGGACAATATTCGGCCCTAATTTGAGTCCTATTCAGACCTCAAGTGAGATTTTTGCGTGCTTTCTGTCAGGTTGGGACCATTTCAAGTCATCAGATGAAGACCTCTCCAGATGTCAGTCTCCGAGCCTGCTTGTCATCCTTGGGCTGAGGAATGCAATGTTGGCTGGTGGATGGCGGCAAGCACTCAGGCGGCTACACATGATGGAGCAGGGCGAGTGCCGTCCAAATCTGGTGCCTTGATATTGGCTGAGCCAACGGTCAACTTTCCTTGGCAAACATCGTGTTTCTGGGGCCTCATCGGTTTGAGGCCAACATAACACAACACTTAGCCTTTTGGATTTGCTCCTGACGGCCCCGGCTCGAGTGACAAAGTGATCCAAAGACTGAATTTTAGCCTCTACTTTGCACTGGGTTGATGGATTCAGCTTGTGCTCTAGTGTTTCGTGGAAGCCGTACCAACTGAGTGCTTATACAAAAAGACACACACACATTCTATCTCAACACAGCGATGGTCCCATGAGGTCAGTATCAACAGTGTCTTGCACGAGTGCGAGGCTGGAGCTTCATGGTGCCAGAGCCTTCGACTCCTCCGGGTCGCGATTTCTGGTGAGCTGAGGCCTGATGCCACCCGGACATCAAAAAGAGGGGGGTGTTTAGAAGGAAAGGAATTGCAGTGAAGCTAACAGTTTTGTACATGGCGCACCGTAAAATGGCAGTGAAGCTGAGATTTTTGTTGGCATGATGCACTAGCAACCTTGGGGGATTCTGGATTTATGAACGCATGGTGCCAGAAATGGACCAGCAAGGGACAAGGGATCAAGATGATAAAACTAAAATCCTGCAACCTACTCAAAAACGACTCAAAGAAACTCAGATTCGCGAGCAACTCAAACGAGAGAGAATTGGACTCAGGAAAAAAACAGGGAAAACATATGGAAAACTCAAAGAGCAACTCAAGAGAAACTCATGGAACAAGTAAACTCAGACAACTTTGCGTGGAACTCATGAACGCAAGCCTCAAATTGAGAAGGCAACTTGCTCCTTGAGTATGCGTTGAGGTTCTTGTTGAGTCTGACTTGAGTCTGATTTGAGTTTTGCTGTTGAGTTTGTTTTGGATTTGAGTTTTTGAGCTGAGTTTGTTTTGTGTTTTTTGTTTAACGTTATTTGTGTATGATTTCAGCCCTGTTTGGTCACTGCGTTTTGTTAATTCTGGATCACACTTTGAGGGAAGGAAGGGGGGCTTGAGGGTTTGCATTCCAACGTATTCTCTTTGAGGAAGTGCTGGAACTTGTAGTACGAGTTTGGGAATCCTATACATACTATACCTGAACATTCCGATGGTGAATGTTTTTTGCATGCTGGCCTTCCTGCTTGGATGTATGTCGAGTGATCCCGCTTCCGTCCGGCCTTCCGGGCCAGTACGGGCTAAGTCTAAAGGCCGTTTGTCTTGTGGCATGTTTGATGCGTGAGCGCATCTCTTGAACGTGAGTGCATGTCTTGCTTTAGACCTGAAAGGGCCTGTGTGGCGTCCGGGCCGAGGTGATCAGCTACACTTCGGCCGCCACCTGCTGCACGCTTGCGCAGCAAAGCTTGGCAGCTGTCATGCTCATGGAGCACATGTCGCGTGTGGATGGCTGAGAGAAAATCGATTGAACATCGGCCTGGATATGTGGACAACACAGTCCTCAGAAGGTCTTTAGCCAAACAGCCAAATCCCCTCAAACAAATCATACTGGGTCAACCCCCCCAGAAAAGGGAAATTCCAGGCTTCCAGGATTTTGATTTTCAGGCATACGTCTTGAGTGGGACATATCTTTGTGGCTTCATGATCAAGATCAATACGTTAAGCTACCAGAGTTGCATAGTAGCAATTTTAGTACTTACTGTTGTGAAATCAGCTGGTTTCCTTTTGATGAATACCAGCCTCTCCAAGGCTGCATGGACTCCAGCTCCTAAATGAATTGCACAAAGCAAGTTGCCATGGAGAGTCAGCTCCAACGACTTCAGCATATCACACCCCAGGACACACAAAATGGTCCCTCCAGTCTCAATAGAAGCAGGCTTCAGTTGGTTGCAACAAGCGAGCAATGTTCCGTCCTTCTTGAGCATATTTCCGGAAGCGATGCCAGCACTCACCAAAGGAATTATGTTGGGTTTTGTCACCTTGAGAGGCCCTCCAACAAAGCTGTGTTTTGTTTGTTTGCACCGCTAGCTTGGAGAGACCCCGCGCTTCTGCCCGTTGGGGTGGGGTCCGGGACCCCCCTCGCCAATGGCTCAGTGCTGCGACCTGCCAGTCAGGGGCATTTTCCGATCGAATCGACCTGAGAGACCTTTCTTTAACCTGGCAATGAAGCTGGTCGAAACATGTTTTTATGCAAGCTTTCGGGGGTGCTATGTGTATCATAGTCTATCTATGTTTATGATTGGCATAGGCATAGACATACATGTTCTGAAACCATTGCTAGATATCGTAGGGGGACAACATCCAAACGTGGATCCTGCGCATCAGCGTGTATTTGAGGGCCCCTTATGCCCTCCTATGTTCACAATTGTTCACACATCCTTTTTATAAACTCTTCCTCCTAGCTACCCTCTCAACTGGCCATGGATCGATGGGTTTCAATCTTTTGATCGTTCAGGCTTCTTTGGAGAAATGTTCGTGTTCAAGGATGTTCCATGGCGCAGTCCCCCGAGGGTTTAGATGGCAAGTGCACCAAAAGTTTAGGAAAACATACGCCCAGGTACCCAGGTCTTAGGGTTTGGTCTACGTTGGCTGGGTTGGGTATTGGTCGATTGTTGAACCACGGTCACATATTTGGACCGTGCGATGGGTTTTATTCCATTTGCCTTGGGGAGTCTCACTGGAGAAGGAGGGAGAGAGAGAGAGAGACATGCACACAGAGCGAGAGCTACACCCATGAAAACATCCCCCTGAGCAGTTGAAGACCTGGAAGGGTCTGGGGATTTTTTCGGCTCAACTTCCCTCGACGTCCGCAGCGAGTTGATCTGCAAGCGATGACAGCTACCTTGGCAGATTGGCATGTTCTTTGGCGAAGCACCGTTGGAGGGTTGGAGTCTTGAGGTCCAACATAGCACTTGAGTCTGAGTCGTAACAAAAACATTTAAAACAACAACGGGTCATCAAAATAGATTAGAGAGTAATTATCGACTGATGGGGCATCAGTTTTTCTCCCAGCACGTCTTGGACACACATCTTTTCAGCCGCAGGCAATACACCATTTCGGCACTGTCGATCCCTTTTCTCCAGCTTCCCCCAGCCCTGGGCTGGGGGGTGTCACGTCCGCTTTTGGGCACGTCGTTCGACACGAACGATGCCAGACATCCCCACTGAGGCACTGAATGGACACCGACCCAACACCGCCCCACCGAAGCTCACGGCCTGGGTGACCACGAAGCTCACCACGACCCCATGGCCGGAGGCGGGCGAAGCGCCCGCATCACCGGTGCAGGGATGGTTCGGAGAGCGTCCGAAGTGGTGTAGGGATGGTATATAGATATACATAATTACATACATATATATATATAGTTTATTTTAATATATATGGCTTTTGATAGATTAGATTAGATTAGATTAGATTAGATAGATAGATAGATAGATAGATAGATAGATAGATAGTAGGTAGGTGTAACATCTATCACTCCTTTTTTTCAGCAGGTCCAGCAGGTCGCTCCGTTTTAAGTCAGGCGACGGAACCATTGGGCCAAAGTTGGCCTTTCAGGCTAGAGACAGCCGCATTGCCTGGCTGTTTCAGGTCTTACAACATGAGTCTCTCGTGGATGTGGGTGGTGTTCACAGCAGACACAGTCACGGTTGGTTTCACCCACACCCATATCTCCAGCTAATGTGTATTTATCAGGCTACCGACTGCAGCCGCCGAGCGCGGGACCGCGTGCACTGTGCACAAGTGATAGGGCTTTGCCCGCGACGGGGAAAGAGTATTTTTTCAGATGTGCCGTGCTTCCGGCAGAACATTCAATGTGATATATAATACTTAAGTGTTGACTGAGAAAAGGACAGTACCGACGCATGTAAAATGGATATGCCCCACGTTAAAAAAGAGCGCCCCTTTCTCACAAAAACATGGAACCATTTATCAAAAGCATGCCCTTCGCCGAACCCGTGGAAACCCTACATAAACACAAAGAGACGAGACAAACCTAGGACAAGACCGCAGCAAACACTGGAAAACCGCAGGAAAACCTTGGAAAACACTAAAAAGACACCCGAAAAAAAAAAAAAAAAACGCGGAAACTAGATGGAGACGGGGTTGAGGGATGTGCCGTGCTTGCAGCAGAACATTCAATGTAGAAACAATGCACTTGTTGACAAAGAAAAGGACACTGCCCATGCAAGACAACCTCAAGTTTTCACCCCTGAAAAAGGTTTGTTTTTCAAAGAAACCAGGGAACCCTTTATGATAAGCACGCCCTTCGCAGAACCCTTGAAAGTCGTGCTTCCAGCAGAACATTCAATGCAGAGAAAATGCACTGGCAGATGTAAAGGAATATCATCAAGTTTGCATCGCTGAAAAAGGCTCCCATCATGTTTCAAAAAGCGAGGAACCTTCTATCAAAGGAAAACAATAGAAAACTCGCAGTAAAAACTAGAGGAAACCCGCGGCAGTAATCATATCATATCATAGCCATCATTAGAAAATCCAAGGAACACAGTATATAAGATGAAAACAATACAATAACAATACTCTTGCAAAGCACTAGACGGAGAGGGTTGGGAGGAGGGGGAATTGAACCCGGGACCATCTGGCAACATGCTTGTTTTAGTGCGTGGGTGACGCAAGAGAAGGCTCGCAAGGAATTGAACCCAAGACCATCTGGAGACCCATTAAGTAAAGAACGAAGACGACTGATTACATGGGAGATTCATGGCAGGTTTCTCGTAAGTTTTTGGCCGCTGAGGCGTAACACTAAGCAGCCTCCAGAAGGGTAGGTGTGGAAAACCAGGTGGTAGCAAACGAAGTCCACCACCAACGAACGCGCCGCGCCGACGCGCGGGAGACAAAGTCGCCGAGGCGACCGCACCGCAGGCTTTTCAAACTCTCGAGCCCACCCGTCTCGGTGGAGCGAAGTTTCGCGTTTCATGTTGCATGGCATGCAACTCACACGGACCGTTCTTGGGTCCAAGGCAAAAAGACGGAAGCGTCCCTCCGCCAGGCTTCGATGTCCTGACGGATGCACCACCCGGCAGGATATTCATACCTGTCCGGAGGGCATTGGTGCTCCGTGCAAAAGCTGCAGCCTCGAAAAGGCTGGACATTGGATGGAACTGCATTCTCAACGATGTGGCAGTCATAGAGGTGCCAACACCTTCCCTTCTTCACTACAAAAATCTCCTTTCCACACGGGCACCGACTTGAGTGGCGCTCCATCTCAGCGACCAATGCTTTCAGCAGCTGGTCCGCACACTCTACCAAAGATCTCAATTCCGAGACCTCTCGGATCTGCAGGTCGAGGGCAGATCGAGATTCACGAGCTGCGGCCTGGGACTCGCTGGCCTTCAAAGCTTCTGACTTGGCGAGCTCTCGCCATCGCTGCAGGACTACCGGGTCATCTTTCTGTACACCAGCTTCGGAGGTGGCAGGGCTTTCAAACAATTGTGGCCTCTTCGAGGCTCGGCCACACATGAATACAAGCAGCATCACTCCAAGGTGCAAAAACAGAAAAACGCTCAGCCAGAAATCTCCAGTGTCTTCGGGGGGGGTGAACATCAAGCTTCGAGCAAACATCCGATTCAGCCTTCCCGGCTGCCAGCAGTGAAAAGCTCAACAAACCAAGAAACACGTTCTTCAAGCGACTCTGGTCGACAAAGTCCATGCGGCTCGGCACGACATGGCTCCGGGCGTCGACATACTGTAGCGAGCCGTGGTTCTGAGCAAAGCTGACAATGTCAGGCACGTCTTCATTCGGCCAGGCTTCATTGTCCTCAGAGGTGATGTCATTCTTTGGAGTGGCATTGGTCTCAAAAGGGTGTTCATCCTCCATCGTGTCCTCAGTGCGTGTCGCGACCAGACGTGGGAGTGGTGGAAGTGCAGTAGACTCTGCAATCGCGGCGGCCTTCTCAGCCTTCGACTTCTTCTTATGGGCCACGTAGTGAGGGTCCCATGTCATCTTCAACTTTCCATGGCGAAGTCGGGAGGCCAACAAAACACGTGCTGACTCTTTTGTCAAGCCGTCAGCGATTTGCCGCTCAGAGCTCATCCAGCGCAGGGAACCAGAAAGCTCTTCCAACCGCTCCTTCATCACGCGGATTTCAAGCGACACCCGCTTATCCACAACTGAGGAACTGATCCCTTCTCGGTGGTAGGAATCATAGAGGGCTTTGGCGTCCGTGATGAGGACTGGTTTGAGGTCGGACTTCACCTCAAGAAGCTCCTTGAGCTTGGTGTTGGGGCGCAACAAGTGGTGCCAGTAGCGGCATGTGAAGTCGACGGCATCAACTGCCTGTCCTCCCGCCTGGGCTTCGGCGCCAAGGCTGCTGCGAGCAACACGGGGAGTGCGAAAGCTCCTCCAGTCCAGGACATGGTACTCGCCCTCTTCAGCGGAGGTGAGAAGCTCTCGATGAACCATCATCGTGATGTAGCCTCCCTGTGAGCTTCCATCACACCTTGCGGTGAAGCCAGCGTCAAAGAAACAAACCAACTGAAGCTCATCAGGGTGGCATAGATGGTTGTAGCTGAGGCTCACATCTTTATTCTCCTTTGCGAAGCGGAGAAGACGATTGCACTCGTGCATTGTCTGGACAGTGGCCTTTGTGATCTGGCCTGAGAGCATGGACGTGGTGCATTGCAAGTGTGGAGAGGTTTGAACTCCAGGCCATTGGAGCGACCCCAGGAGTCCTCGCACTTGGGTGATCTCCTTGTCCAACAGAAGCTCGGACATAGGGCGTCCTTTGGAAAAGCTGATGGGCTTGAGCTTGCTCATGTACTGCTCTTGGTGAAGGCGACGTCCACCGGATGCAGTCTTCTCAAGTTGGCATCCGCAATACTCCAGACAAGGCTCCTCCTCCTTCCATTCACGGAACGAGAAGTTCTCCTTCAAAAGGTCGGTGACGGCCTTGTAGCGAGGTGAATGAGGACATCCCGCACCAAGCATGTCATCCACGTGCATGATGACCATGCCACAGAGGCGTTCTGGACCAAGAGTGCTCACCTTCTTATAGATCGGTGACTCAGCATCATAGTCCTGGGCGTCGGACTCATAGATGAGGAAGGCACAAGGGTCCAAAGGGTGCTGCCGGAGTCCAGCGCGCAAAAGGCGGTCAACTGCCTCCAAGTACCAGCCTCGTGGAGCATCGATCTGCCCGTAACAGGGCTTGAGCAACAACATGCGAGTGTCATGGTCGGCCCCAAGCAACTGAAGTGCTTCGCTAGGAAGCTTCACCCACAGCTTGCGGTCTTGGCATCGGCCTTGAAGGAATGCCGTGGACACGTCTGCCGTCCACATGTTCCACCGCATGTTGGCGGCTAGCGAAAGCACCATGCTCCTTGACAGGCGTGTCGTGGTTGGACTGGATGTTGGAATCTGGCCTGCCAGAGCATCAGGGTCATTGTACCCTCGCACGATGAGGCGTGCTTTCGCCCTTGGGCTGCCATCAGGATTCTTGGACCATTTCAAAATCATCCTTGAGGTCAGGGTCCTTGCTTCATCGGCCTCTGACTTGGTCTGGAAAGTCCAGACTCCGTGGTCGAAGAAACTCTTCAGCTCCTTCACCTTGGCTTCCTTGAAGAGTGCTCGTTCGTGAGGGCCAAGGTGTCTTTCATTGACATCATTCTTTGCGGTCTTCATCTTCTTGACTCGGGCCAGTTTCTGACTCTTGGCCTCTTGCTTGGCGGAGGTGAAGGCTTCGTGGTAGCCACCATACATGGCCATCTCTTTCCGCAATGAGCCGGTGATCTGGAAGACCGTGACGCCAGTCCAGGAGGACTTCAAATCCTTGGGAGGCGCAGTGTCCGTGCCATCATCGGTCGTGAGTCGGCCCTTCCCACCAGGTTGGTGGATCAAGGTGACCTTGATGCGGTCGAGCTGGTCCGCAGGAACCGGACAATCCTTTGGCAGGTGATCAATATTCAGCTTGCCCCGTCTGGGCACGAGATGGTGCCTGATGAGACACCCTGCCTTCACTTCCCAATAGTCCATGGGGCGATCACACAGGCTGATGAAGCCTTCATCATCAACATGCCATCCGGCAGGTAGCAGCTTTGGATCAAGGTCCTCAACTTGGAAGGCCTGTCCTGGTAGCTGTTCGCCAGCTTGTGGCGTGGCGGTCTGGGTTGCCTGGGCTGCAGCTGCCGCTGTTGTGTGTGTTCTGTTATCTGGAGCCGGCCCATAGGGTGTGTTCGGATGCTGATGGCGTGTCCGCCATGGTGCGAAGCTCAGCGTTTCCTGTCTGTTGAAATGCAGG